TTTTTTTTTCCTTCTGAATCTTAAAGTTGCAAAGCAAAGGAGTCTCCAGGATTGCTACCCCTGTATCCTGGACACCCACCCACCGCTCTTTCCATTATACCCTGGCCTCCTTCCCACATCAAGGAACCCTCACACTTGTCTAAACAGTGGTTCTCAACCTGTGGGTCATGACCCCTTTGGGGGTCAAATGACCGTTTCACAGAGGTCACCCAATGCATAACAGTAGCAAAATGACAGTTATGAAGTAGCAACGAAAATAATTTTATGGTTGGGGTCACCACAACATGAGGAACTGTATGAAAGGGTCAGGGCATCAGGAAGCTTGAGACCACTGCTCTAGAATGAACAAATAGCAACTGAGACAATCCTCTAAACTATACGTGGCATTTTTAAAAAAATGTTCTTACCTATTGTGCAGAAATTGCCCACTGCTTCCTTGAGAATTTTTACTGGCTCCCACAGGGCACTCTTGGGAGGACCAAAAAAAAAAAAGAAAGAAAAACACAAGTGAAAATCCTGAGCACATGTACATACACATGCATGCCAACCACATGTACATACGCATGCATGCCAACCACATGTACAGACACATGCATGCCAACCACATGTACAGACACATGCATGCCAATAGCCTACAGTCACTCAGGGCCCATCAGGAAGCACCCATCATTACCTTGGGATTGTCTATATAAAATGTTATGCTCTGACTTCCTAGGTTGAAATCAATCCAAAATTCCTCTAATTTCTCACTATCTGGTTTTCTCATCTGTAAGAGATAATTTTAGCATGAACTATATCATATAAAAATCATGTTAAGGCACTGATGAGAATGATTCCAATAAAAACAAAGCTGTGGCTGTTCTAGAACAGAACTACCTACTATGGCAGGGTCTCTACTGTTTCCTTCCTTTCTGTAAAAGAGACAATCTCAAAGAAACCCTTAATTTGGACACTCTAAAGACAGTTGCCCACACCGTCAGCAGAGTCAAAATCCAGAGAGCTCAGATTTCACCCTGAAATGGAGTGGTTTAGGCTGAGGGGCCTGACATGGGGACTGTGTTCCTTTAGGACCAAAACAAACTCAACCAAACCCACTACCACTGAGTTGACTCCACTTCATCGTGACCTGATACGGGGTTTGTGAGACTAAATCTTTACAGGCTCACGCAGACTC